CTAAATAATTTGTAATATATAATTATTCACGGTATTTAGAAGTGCCCACGATAACAATATCGTGCATATCCATTACCGTGATATATCGCATTACCGAATACCGGCACAAGTCTAACTGAGACACTGTATGGCAAATGAAGCCTCATGAAGCACTGAGGCTTTCCTCTGACCGTTTCGGGGAAAGATTCAAAGCTTCGAGCGTGTCAAAAACAGCGCCATCTCGTGGTTAATAAGAAATATAGCAGCCAAAAGCCTGTGAAAGACGCTCCTTCGGAATTAAATGCCAGTACGAAAATCAATATGATGTAATAGAAGAATAATTCACAGATATATGAACTGCATATGGCAAATATTTTATCTTTTCTGAAATAATTTTTATTCTTCATATTACTTGTATGTCTGGGTATCTAAGTAAGTCTGAATGAAAACTTATTTAAAAGTAAGATCTGGGAGTTCGAAGATTCCGACACGCGCACGTGATTGGACAGAAAGTGAGGCTTCGTTTTTCGTTGATCACGTGATTCTCTGAAAACAGAGCTTCGTACTCGATACGCGCTTTGAAGCTTCAGTGTCATATGTAACATCACTAGTGTTTATTTGAAGAAGAAAATCAATATGAAAGAGCATTCATAAACAAGCACAAGACACAAAACAGCAAAATTACCATATTTCTCCCACATCACCAATAGTTCTGCACGGCGGTAGTTAGTTTGACGTTTGACATTCACTAGACATTCGAGTTTTTTGCCAATTAAACTCTTTGCAGCCTTTATGTTTTGAGCCCAAACTAACTCAGATAGACATAAATATGTGCCCTTTACGTTGCACAAGGCTTAATTTCTAGGAATGAAAAAAAAAAATAACCATTTAAATTAATTAAACAATTTAACTACGTGACATTATAATATAAAACCAATACTAAAATGTTCGGGAAAACATACCTGTTATCGCACAAAGCTCCATTTTTGGAATGATCATTTTATGTTTTTTATAATAATTTTACAACTTTTAACCAAGACTTGTGCATTATAGGGAATAATATTCTGAATATTTTACAGTTTGTTTGATACCTTTAGATCAAATGGTGTTGTCGTTTAATGGATTTATATTATTGCATACATTAAAAGTTGTAAAATTATTATAAAATACATAAAATTATCATTCCAAAAACGGAGCTTTGTGCGATAACAGGTATGTTTTCCCGAACATTTTAGTATTGGTTTTATATTATAATGTCACGTAGTTAAATTGTTTAATTAATTTAAATGGTTAATTTTTTTTTTCATTCCTAGAAATTAAGCCTTGTGCAACATAAAGGGCATATATTTATGTCTATCTGAGTTAGTTTGGGCTCAAAACATAAAAGCTGCAAAGAGTTTAATTGGCAAAAAACCCGAATGTCTAATGAATGTCAAACGTCAAACTAACTTTACCGCCGTTAATTCTGCAGCTCTCTTATAAGCATCATCCCAGCTTCAAGGAAAACGGTAGAATGGCCAGGAAAAAAAAAACACTGAATTAATAAAAAGTCAAGAGTCTGATTATACTGAAAGTATTCAAAACAACCCAACTTTTTAATTAACAAATAAAGGTGTAACATTTTACTTGCAGCAGTTGCTGGGTAGAATATACAATATTCTTGGGAGGTATTGCATAAACTTAAATTTAACCCATGTGCTGGTCTTCTATGAGATCGACAATAGTAGGGCTAACTAATCAAGTGAAATCTCTTACTACTTCTTTGTTCCGAGTTTTGAAGGAGCAAAATCCTCTTCTAAATCTGTACACTGCACATGTGTGCTCGCTGCTCGCTGACGATTCCATCGTGACGTCTCGCCTCATCAACTTCCGCTTACGTAACAGATCATGACAATCAATCGACGTGACACTTCAAAATAAAGGTTTGTAATAAAGGTAAAGGTACAGTTTTATCGCATATTCAAAACTGAAAGCAAAGCGATGCAAATTGAATACACGGATATTTACATTTACATTTAGTCATTTAGCAGACGCTTTTATACACACACACACACACATAAAGTAGATAGAGTAGATAGAATAGAAAAAATAGAAAGCTAGTGTTTGTTTGTTTTTTGTTGTTGTTTTTTTAAATAAAAAAATTAAAATAAAAAAAAACGAAGATAAATATAGATAAAGTAGAATTAAAATAGAATAGAAAGTGTTAGAGTTAGAGGGTCAAATAAAGGTGGAACAGATGTGTTTTTAGTCGTTTCTTGAAGATGGTTAAGGACTCAGCTGCTCGGATTGATTTGGGCAGGTCATTCCACCAGGAGGGAACAGTTAATGAAAAAGTCAGTGAAAGTGATTTTGTGCTTCTTTGAGATGGCACAATAATGCGTCGTTCACTTGCAGAACGCAAGCTTCTAGAGGGCACATAACTCTGAAGTAATGCATTTAGGTAAAGGGATATAAATTAAAACAATTAAAAACAAAACAATAAGTAAATAAATAAAATAAATAGAACCATAACACAGTTGACAAAAGGTGCACTTTTTTGGTGCACAAAATTCTAACAGTTCTTACTTTATGTTTTACATCAGTGTGTCGTCAGTTCTGATGCACTTATTTCTATACTAAAAACAAAGACAGATGGAAGTAAAAGACGATGTTGTTTTCAAGGTAAATATTATGGTTTATACAACAAGTATGTAGATAAATGTAATTTTAATTTTAAAGTGTTATTTGTTGTGTTTTAAGAATGTTAAGGTAAATATTTTTCTTCAAATAACAGTAGATGAATGTATTGTATTTATAACATTCTATGTATATTATTTCATTCGTCCAGTCGAACGTTTAATAAATAAATAAATATTTTTAGGGTGAGCATCTTTTACCTCAGCAGAGGGTTTGTTTATTCATGGACAGGCTGATGTACAGTGCGTGCGCAAAGGATTGTGGGCTCAGCGCGTATGTTTCCATCATGGCGGCGTCAATTTCGGGATACACTTTTAGTTCTGTGTGTTATCACAGTGCCAACAGCAGTTCCGACCATGTAAGTACTCTGTCATCTGACTTTGAGGGTAAATGTTTAAGAGCACGATCGCACAGCGAAACAACAAACAGTTTATTCCATCAAATCAGAATTAATTCATTTCCCGATGTCATCTTCCTGGTGTGGCTTCAGAGGGGCCGTGTATGAAAACCTGGTGAGCTGCCTACCTAGACAGCCTTTGTAACATTCAAAGGTGCGACAGAACGTTAAAAATTCCGAATCAGCGGGATTTTTGTAGTATTTCATGGCATTTTTAGATGTCATAAGTCGAGAACTGACTCGGTACACGCCTTTGGTGATGAACAGAATGCGGTCTAGGCAGGCAGCACACTGGGTTTTGAGACGCAGCCTGGCTGACAGCTAGCAAACCTACAAGCCGAAAGATTTTACAAGCTTGTCAGAAAGTGTCATTGCCGTTTATTCACTGTATGATTGCTCGCTGTCATAAATGGACACCGCCCAGTAGCGATTGGTGAATTAAATCTCGTCGATGTCGTCTTATAGGTGTCAAGATTAAGGCTAAATTGTTTGTCAGCAACAACTGTCAAATGCAAACTTGAATGTCTAACAGACATATTAAATGAAGTGTTCACAAATTGCTTAACATTTTCTAGCCCCTTTTGCTCTTTGTGTCATTCCCTCTAGTGTAGTAGTTGAGGCATTAGGAAGTAGGAGATCTGCCATTGACCCTGCAGGCTTCGCATAGTTGTTTTGAGCTGGTTAGTCTGGTGTTATGCTTAACCTGTTTTCATTCAAAGATTTGACAGTTTTCCTTATTGAATATCTAAATGGCAACCATTCTAATTTGGATTGGAGCTTGTCTATGGGATAGACTGTCAATTTGCATGGTGTTATTATGTGGGCTTTTGATACTAAACCACCTTTGTAACGTAATTTTATTTTAATTGGAAAAAATGATCTGCATTTTCAGTGTGATCTCAAACTGAACAAGTAAATAACCAGGGAAGTTATGGTGTGTTCCTGGAGAACAGTGTTTCTGTTGTTCTCTCATTGCAGCAGTGTTTGGGAAGTTTCAGTTTTTCAGACCTCCTTGTATAAAATATGTAACATATTCATTGCATGAATTCTGGGTACATTCACCTAATATGGTACATTTTGGCATCCCATGACCATTAGAGGTACAGATTAGGTTTTGTTTGCTTTTTAAACGCATCAAATATCTGTATTCCCCTTAAAATGGCATTTGGCCTGTTACTGTAGGGGACAAAATATTTATATATTATTATTATTATTATTATTATTAGTTTGTCAATAACTAAAAACTAAAACCTAGTTACAGAATAGCAAGCCCTGGCTAATTGACAGCTTATAGGCTTATATGATAAAGTTGAAATGCTGTTGTTTTAAATAAGCAAATAAATAAATGTGTTTGTACTTTTAGGTTGTTTTCAACATTTGTATTTTTAATGTTTATTTTTATTTCATGTTTATTGCTAAGAAATTGCTAAATCATAAAAGGGTTTTAAACTATATGAAGACATCCCAAATTTTGAGTAATAATAAGAGTAATTATTACTTAATTTTAAAACAGTTGCAGCCCTTTTTTTGTATCCTGTTTGTTGAAAGTGTCTATTAACTTGCGGTCATAATAACATTCTATCTTACGTTGGGTACACACCACAAGATAATCGGGCTGATTTTGGGATTTCTCCCCTTCCGACAATCCTAGGTAATGTCCCGATTATCTTGGTGGTTCTAAAGATTATCTTATCAGATTTTCCTGTGGTGTGAGGTGTGTTAAGAGTGACAGAATCTGTGAATCGTAAATATTCAGCATGTTGAATATTTACGATCAGAAATCCTGATGTGTGGGGGGAACATCGCGGCACACCACACACTATAGGAGCAAAACGGTTAAATCTAGGATTTTTTGTCCTCATGTTTGTGGTCTCTCACGTTTTGAAGATCTTATAAGATTTTTAAAATCTTTTAGTGTGTACCCAGCATTAACTACACTGTCTTTGCCATTGAAATGCCATTTTATGCCTCTTTTAGGAGGGCTTCCTGCTGGGAGAAGTGAGACAGGAGGAGACTTTAAGCATCAGTGACTCAACTCGGTACACGCCTTTGGTGATGAACAGAATGCGGTCTAGGCAGGCAGCACACTGGGTTTTGAGACGCAGCCTGGCTGACAGCTAGCAAACCTACAAGCCGAAAGATTTTACAAGCTTGTCAGAAAGTGTCATTGCCGTTTATTCACTGTATGATTGCTCGCTGTCATAAATGGACACCGCCCAGTAGCGATTGGTGAATTAAATCTCGTCGATGTCGTCTTATAGGTGTCAAGATTAAGGCTAAATTGTTTGTCAGCAACAACTGTCAAATGCAAACTTGAATGTCTAACAGACATATTAAATGAAGTGTTCACAAATTGCTTAACATTTTCTAGCCCCTTTTGCTCTTTGTGTCATTCCCTCTAGTGTAGTAGTTGAGGCATTAGGAAGTAGGAGATCTGCCATTGACCCTGCAGGCTTCGCATAGTTGTTTTGAGCTGGTTAGTCTGGTGTTATGCTTAACCTGTTTTCATTCAAAGATTTGACAGTTTTCCTTATTGAATATCTAAATGGCAACCATTCTAATTTGGATTGGAGCTTGTCTATGGGATAGACTGTCAATTTGCATGGTGTTATTATGTGGGCTTTTGATACTAAACCACCTTTGTAACGTAATTTTATTTTAATTGGAAAAAATGATCTGCATTTTCAGTGTGATCTCAAACTGAACAAGTAAATAACCAGGGAAGTTATGGTGTGTTCCTGGAGAACAGTGTTTCTGTTGTTCTCTCATTGCAGCAGTGTTTGGGAAGTTTCAGTTTTTCAGACCTCCTTGTATAAAATATGTAACATATTCATTGCATGAATTCTGGGTACATTCACCTAATATGGTACATTTTGGCATCCCATGACCATTAGAGGTACAGATTAGGTTTTGTTTGCTTTTTAAACACATCAAATATCTGTATTCCCCTTAAAATGGCATTTGGCCTGTTACTGTAGGGGACAAAATATTTATATATTATTATTATTATTATTATTATTAGTTTGTCAATAACTAAAAACTAAAACCTAGTTACAGAATAGCAAGCCCTGGCTAATTGACAGCTTATAGGCTTATATGATAAAGTTGAAATGCTGTTGTTTTAAATAAGCAAATAAATAAATGTGTTTGTACTTTTAGGTTGTTTTCAACATTTGTATTTTTAATGTTTATTTTTATTTCATGTTTATTGCTAAGAAATTGCTAAATCATAAAAGGGTTTTAAACTATATGAAGACATCCCAAAATAATAAGAGTAATAAGAGTAATTATTACTTAATTTTAAAACAGTTGCAGCCCTTTTTTTGTATCCTGTTTGTCTATTAAGTCTATTAACTTGCGGTCATAATAACATTCTATCTTACGTTGGGTACACACCACAAGATAATCGGGCTGATTTTGGGATTTCTCCCCTTCCGACAATCCTAGGTAATGTCCCGATTATCTTGGTGGTTCTAAAGATTATCTTATCAGATTTTCCTGTGGTGTGAGGTGTGTTAAGAGTGACAGAATCTGTGAATCGTAAATATTCAGCATGTTGAATATTTACGATCAGAAATCCTGATGTGTGGGGGGAACATCGCGGCACACCACACACTATAGGAGCAAAACGGTTAAATCTAGGATTTTTTGTCCTCATGTTTGTGGTCTCTCACGTTTTGAAGATCTTATAAGATTTTTAAAATCTTTTAGTGTGTACCCAGCATTAACTACACTGTCTTTGCCATTGAAATGCCATTTTATGCCTCTTTTAGGAGGGCTTCCTGCTGGGAGAAGTGAGACAGGAGGAGACTTTAAGCATCAGTGACTCACACATCGGTAGCTCAGAATTCCTCAATGTAATAGGTAAATCCATGGTTGATTATTTTTTACCGTCCTAAAGCTACAGACAAAAGTTTGAGTTTTTAATGACCATTTTAGTTTGGTAAACTTTATCATGCATTGCCAAAACATGAAGGCTCAAATCACAGACATGATACGTTTCATAGTGAGGACGTGACGACCTTCCTGTGCGAGCAGAGGGACTTTATCAGTTCAAGATATGGTTTGATGTAATCTGTTCAGTCTCAACTATTCAAAGTAGGGCTGCACGATTATGACAAAAATCATAATTGTTGATTATTCCCTTGAAATTGTAATTGCGATTATTAATTACGATTATCACAATTTACATTGAATGATGTTTATACCATTGTTTGATGCAACTGCATGCCGTATTTTTATATGAAAATAAACAAGCTGAAAACACTAACTGAAAAACTTTTAGTGCTTTTCTATAGCATTAAGCCTCAAATGTCAACTATACATCGGATTGGTTTCTTCTTTAAATGATAAAAAAGTGCAAATATGAATGGTATTATGTTATACTAAAACTAAAATTAAAATAATGGGAAAGACCCTTAAGATAACATGTAGAAAGAAAAAAAAACGCATCTTAAGCATGCAGAATAGCATAAGTGGACTTTGAACGATTAATTGCCGCTTTGAACGATTATGTAATTGTGGCATCCATAATTGTAATCACGATTAGAAATTCGATTAATTGTGCAGCCCTAATTCAAAGTACTTTAGCAGACTGTTCTGGTTGCCAATAACCTGATAAACCACCCAGCTGTTTGAGAGAGCCAGCACTGTACATCAATGTAGACCATTTTTTGCTCAGAAATGCTGGAAATAGCTCCTCTCCAACATTAAGAGATCATGTTTCTGAGTTTGGCACTGCTCCCAGCACCCGTTCATCTCTGATAACTTTACAAAGAATTTCACAAAGACCTTCAACATCAAAAGTGGGCCCGGATAGTATCTTATATTTGCAGTAAGATGAGTCATTATGAAGGTCATGTTGTCCTCTAGACAACCTTCAGTTCATGATGGCTGAGATTCATCGTCGCCTGTTTCAGTTTTTAGAGAGCACAACAAATCTGCCAGCATTTTTTCTTTGTCTATTCCAATTTGTCTGTATGCATATTAATATTTAAATGTAGATCTTTTGAACAGCAGTGTTGGGCAAGTTACTTCCAAAATGTAATAGGCCTACATTGTATATTACTTATTACTGTCTTTTGAAAGTAATAGTTACATTATAATATTACTGTCTCTGAATTGTAATGCGTTACACTACATTTTAGTTACTTTTGAGTTACTTTCACTTTCAAGCACAAACCGCAATTACATTCAGAAATTATAGCGGTAAATAAAACGGAATGTTATAAGCCCTAATGTACAAATAATAAATACAACAGCTAGCCTATAGGCCATTTTAATTCTCCTCACTCCACAACAAATCCTTTAAATTTAACGGTATTCAGAACAAAACGAATGAAAAATAAGTTGCTAAACAAGTCAAATCAAATTAATTTAACACGAAACTGAAATCAAACGTGTTAGTTCTCACGCAGCCTACCTCTCTCATTCGGCACGAATCCAAATGTTTCCATATTCACGACGTATTTGATTGCTAAACTATTATTTATTATGTAAACCAGGCTTTGTACATAACTCGGATTGTTCTACGGACTAGTTTAAATAATGAGTGTATCTATATGTTTGGTTGACTGTATATTATTCTGATAATGAACAGGCTGCAACATTTTCAATGCTGTATTGTGTGTGCGTGAGGCGCCTTCGAGATCGAACAGCGGAAAATACTCCGTCATTTTTGATCATACAGATCATTCAAAACTGCAGTGTGTTGACTTTTATTTTAGGATGCGCTTTCTGTCGTCTCGGTTTCCTTTCCGTGAACTTGTTTGTAGAGCGCCGCGCCACACAAAAATGAACCAAACTCAGCAGCATATACACTCAGTCTTTTCCTTTCGTTTTGTAAAGTCAAATATATTTCGCATATTCATTCCTTTTATATATAGACTATGATTTAATAAAAACTGATTTTGTTATTTTTAGTTAAACTTGATTTCTGTTGCTTGTCCGCCGCATTCTTTCTCTCCTCCGACCCTGCAGCTCTTACGGTTAGTGTTTGTGGCACCAGTCCCGGTGTTTCTTCAGTTACTCGTGCTATTTCTCGATGTTGAGAGTTCGGTGTCGCATATAGATTGCACTTGACTATGCCTTCTTGTCATTTTCTCTGCTGAACAGAAAATAACGGGAGTGTGTCCGTGTCACAGATGTAGAATCCGTCTCTGCAGTCATCTCAACCATGGAATTCCAGCAGCAGGAAATAAACAAATTATTTTACCCAGGGAATTTTTTCTCTGGTGCTGTTTTGCAGTGTTGGTAAATTCCACCACTTAATTTTGAGTTAAAATATGTTATTGTAACGCGCGTTACCGAGATTGTAACGAGTATAATATTACCCAAATTTTATTAGTAAAGCGTTATATTACTGCGTTACAGCAAAAAAAAAGTAACTGCAATTTTGTTACTTTTGTAATGCATTACTCCCAGCACTGTCAGTCACAGCCAGTGTTGGGGAGTAACTAGTTACATGTAACTGAATTACGTAATTTCATTACAAAATAAATGTAACTGTAATCAGTTACAGTTACTGAGAAAAATGTGTAATTAAATTACAGTTACTTATGAAAATGTTAATGATTACAATGGGGGTTTCATCTGAATGTTTTTCACACACATACAGATTTAATTGATTTCTTTCATAAATTGCAGTGATTGCCCTAAAATATGATACACCAATATTTCAAGAATTTAGGACACATGCTTATTCGATAACTGTTTTATTTCCTATTTGGGTTTATGTATATGCTTACTTTTTTTTTATATTTACTGTTTTTTTTTTCCGACAGCATTGTTAGATTCCAGTATTTCCTGTCATAGTTATGCAAAGATTTGAAAAACAGTATCATAGCTACTAAACTATTTCTTGTTATGGTTTTAAATCTGTATTTAACCTCAGAATGATCTCAAAGTAAGTTCTGATTTTGTGGTTGCTGTGCTTTAAAATAAAATTTTACTTGAATCTTAATTCAAGTGATGAAAGATTTTAAAAGTCTGACAGTAATCAGTTGAATACTACTGTAAGGTCAACCCTGCCTGGTTTAAATGTTTGAAAATGATTAACAGTTGAAAACATTAGAAATTTAGAAAAGTAATCAAATGTTATCAGTTACTTTAATGTAATTGAAATAGTTACACTACTTAATACATTTTAAATAGGGTAACTTGTAATCTATTACATTTCCAAAGTAACCTTCCCAACACTGGTCACAGCAAACTTTACTCAGATGTTGAATATAATTAGTCACTCGCATTCACTTGTTTTTCAGAGGTCCATAATCATGAACCTTGTGCACAACTGTTTAGGTAAGAATGTCCTGCATGGGCAATTGGATTTAGTAGATGCGTTCTTTAATGTTTGTCATCTATATGTTTTAATTGAAAAAAATTTCCTATGTTTCAGCTTTTATGACTATGCAGGTAACGTCAATGAAGAAAATCTCAACCGAATCCTCAAGGACAGAAGAAAAGTAAGCAGTTATGCATAAAAAATTTTAGAGAGGAAAATAAATAAATTATTAGCAGGTGCTTTGACAGGTTCTTTGTCCTTTGGTGTTCGACTTTGTGTGTTTTAATTCAGCCGCCCCACTTAGTTCACAATGTCTCTTCTTGCTGAGCAGAATGTTATCGGCTGGTACCGGTTTAGAAGGAACACTCAACAGCAGATGTCATTCAGGGAGCAGGTGATCCATAAGCAGTTGACCTATATACTTGGCATCCCAGATCTGGTCTTCCTCCTCTTCAGCTTCATCTCCACAGCCAATAGTTCCACACATGCTTTGGAGTATGTGCTCTTCAGGCCCAACAAAAAGTATGTACATGCTGGTTAATACATACTTATAGGAAAATGTAATCCTGTTGGGTAAAAGTTCTCAAAATATGATAAAATCATGATTCTGTTTAACTGTTTAGAGACTTGTCTCTCATATTGTTATTTCATAATACCATGCATAATGTTTGCAAATGGTGTGATGTAGCTGAGACCGTGTTTATGAGCATTTCTGTTGCAATTTGGATCTTTATCTCAGCAGGTTTAATCAGAGGATATCTCTAAGCATCCCAAACCTGGGCAACACCAGTCAACAGGAATATAAAGTCTCATCTGTGCCGAACACCTCCAAGAACTACGCAAGTGTCATTAAAGAACATGGGTGAGGCAACCTGACTGCAATGTTCAATATTCCTCTTTAGCCGTGTCACAAAATGTAGATACATCAAATTATTTTGTTTTTACACTACCATTAAAAAATGTTCACCATAATAGGCCGCATTTATTTGATAAAAAATGCATCAAAATATTGTAATATTGTGAAATATTATTAGAATTTAAAACTATTCAATTTGAATATATTTTAAAATGTAATTCATGCATGTGATTGCAAAGCTGAATTTTCAGCATCATTACTCCAGTCTTCAGTGTCACATGATCCTTCAGAAATTATTCTAATACACTGATTTGGTGCTCAAGAAACATTTCTTAATAATATCAATGTTAATAACAGTTAAGCTGCTCAATATTTTTTGTAGAAACCATGATACAGTTTTTCTTCATTTATTTAATTTAAATTGCACAGCATGTAAAACAAAAAAGTCTGACTTTTGCTGCAGTAAATACTTGAATAAGTGTTTATTTATATATTTTTTTCATTTATAGGACAGAGTTCTTTGATAAGGATGGGGTGATGAAAGACATTCGAGCTATTTTTCAAGTATACAGTGCCCTTCAAGAAAGAGTGCAGGTGAGTTACACTCTTACAATGTTTTTGAACTTTCAGTTAACTTCAGGAGATGTTGGTTAAAATACACCACAATTTGCTAACATGTAATAACATTTAAATGTTTTAAATAAATAATGCTGAGAATGTGCTATCTATGAATTTTAAGGATTTACGATACTGGGTTTTTGCCGATATGTGATGTTCTGATATTTTTCAACTCATTTTGGCCGATAGCCAATACTGATATTCATTTCCTTTTATTTGGAAACATCACCAAGTCTCTCCTGAGCAGAGATTATAAACAAATTATTTTTAATTTTGGTTAGTTTTAAGCAAAAACTTACTTGTTAGAACTAAATAAACATTATTAAAGCTATTTTTATAAGTATATTGAAAGCTTTGAAAATAACTATAATAAAATCAATCACTGCTGGGTTTTGTTTTGTTTTTTTTCCGACAGATGCAGTTGTAACCTTATTACTTTATTTGTAGATTTAACATTTGTAGATGGTCTAAAGCAGCAGACCTGTAAAAATTCTAAAAATCGCTAGCACACTCACATCACATGTGAGTTATTCATCTTTATTTAATATTGTGACGATGCCGATGTTTACATTTTAAGCCTTATCCGCCAATTTGGATGACGTTCCAATAATATCATGCATCCCTCATGAATTTTCTGTCATCCTGCAGGCGGTGTGTTGTGAAGTGGATCAAAGTGAACGAGTGAGGGAGAAAATCCAAGAAGAAGTGAACAAACTCAAAGAGGAAATCGCTCTCAGGAAACGTAACAGCGCTGAGGAAGAGAGAAGTATGTACTGATCACTCTGCACATTTGATGCTTGTTTAACAAAAAAAGGAAACAATTTCCTTGAATATCTTCTCTATTTTCCTCGCAGGACTTCAAGAGGCAGCCGCTGTCACGCTTCCCGACAACCCTGCCCTTCCCGACTCCTCACACTCTTTGACTCGAGTCATGCTCTCAGGTCCCTCGGTGGAGCCCAGTTTAGAGAGACCCGTGAACTCGTCATCTCCACCAATCTACAGCACCACACTGCTTCCAGATTCACCAAGCGCTATACTGCTGCCGCGGCCCCAAGCCGTAGGTTCGCCCGGCCACCCGTCTCCCAGTCTGGGCCTGGGCAGCGGAGACGGTTCGAGCTCAGATTCCCTGAACCGTCAGGCCACCGGCCAGGAAGACCAGGAGGATGATGATGACGAGGACAGTAGCGAGTATGAAAATTTAGTTAGCGAGCAATTGCAACCACCTTCCTTAACGGAAACTGTTACATTAGGACGCCCGGCTACCCTGTGGCCCGACGGAGACGCCCACAGCCCGCCGGGCTCATAGTAGTTGAACAAACTAACGGGGATATTGACGAATGAACAGAACTAGGTGTGATCGTGAGGTCGGTGGTGTTCAGAACACAAACAAGCACTTGCCTTTTGTGAGTTATGACAATGCTGTCCTGTTGCACACATTTAACAGCTCTGTGCAGGGGACGAACTCTGAAGTGGAATGGAATGATATCCCCAACCATGTGGACAGACAAGGCCCCCTTTTCTTCATTTTATGCTCTCCTCTCTGGTTTTGTTTGGGTGGAGAGGTGCATCCTGCTTCTCTCGGCGTCTGCTACTCACTGGAGTCATTCGGTTTTTGCACCATTTACCTCTTGCACTGTTTTGCCTTCTTTTGATCTGCATTTGAATAGAAAAGCAAAGGGAATTATGTCTTTTTTTTGTGGCCTTCAAACATCTTTGTGTGAGCTTATTCCATGACTTGTTCGTTGTCTAGCTTCATTTATCTGAATGAAAAGAAAAAAAATCACAGTTATAATAAGTGCTTAGGACTTCAGCTGACACTTGAACAGTTCTTGTTCTAGAAAATGTATTTTATTTTTGGTTTTATCAGTTATATTTGATTTGATTGAGTAATATAATGGCCTATTAATGAAAAAAAGGATAATTTTTGGTCAACGATTATAAAAAGTTACTTTGATAAGTGGTGCTTGTGTTTTCTATGACATACTGTAGATCACTACTAATTTCATTGGCTTAAATCAAACACATTTTTGTCCTAATGAATGAATCGAATATTATATTGTTTTCTGCTGCACTTCAAACGTTCACCATTGAGCTTTAACTGAAATTTTCGGTCGTACGGTTTGACGGAGCCAATCAGAAACTGGAAGGGTCAGAATGCAGCATCATCGATCTCAGGATTCTTTTGCAGTACAAGGACCGTTGCTTTCTCGCATCTTCTTGTCCACATGCCTTTGTTGTTTAGTTGAGAAGATGTGATTGCTCAAAGCAATGCAGCGGTGGATCAGTTTCGCGCTCCATGATAACGTGAAATAAAGATTTCAGCCATATGCAGCAGATCTTTAAAGGTAGAAGCACAGTTTTGTCATGTTAGTGGATGTTTTGCTACGTCTGATCGAACCAAAATTACATTTTCCCTCAAAAGTTTGTATGTGTGTGAATCTCAGAAAAACATGTCTGGGTCATTTTACTATTAATCAATAAATAATAATAATTTACCATTTAATAACAAATATATATATGTGTGTGTGTGTGTGTGTGTGTGTGTGTACCATTAAATAACATATATAATAGTAAATGATAAATACTTTTATTTTATATTATTATTTAATGGTAAATTTGTAATATATATACTCATAACTGTAAACAATCTAGGTTTCACTTTCAAATTTGTTCTCTTTCTCATAATACAGTAATGTTTTACTGTGTCAGCGTAGGCAGAATAACATACTGCCATGATGTATAAATACTTGACAATTTAATTTTACTTTTAAAAACAATTTTTGCAATAAAGTTTATATATTTAGGGGAAACAGACATTTAAAAATGGTCACAAAACACTTAATGGTCCAAAACTTTTTAAAAACTTAATGCTCTTGCAATAAAGTTTATATATTTAGGGGAAACAGACATTTAAAAATTGTCACAAAACACTTAATGGTCCAAAACTTTTTAAAAACTTAATGCTCTTAATTTTTTTTTCCAGTTACAAATATTATACAAATATATACAGATTTGAAAAATGTGGAGTGAAATATGACTGTAACACGTTCTTGTGAGATTCACCCATGTCGTGCATATTGTGAACAATTTGGGCAAGTGACTTGAATCAGATTGATGAGCCGTTGGACTTTTTCACCCAAAGAATCCAAAACTCTTATTTCTTAGATTTATCTCAGGATCTGACGCTGACATTTATTATGGCAGAGGCCGAGAATGTCTCACTTTTCATTCAGTATATTTCTCCAGTTCTGTGTAGGACAGAAAAATAACATATGGTTGTTCCCTGGCATAAGTGTAATTGAGAGTACACTGACAGAGATGTTTTAATCAGCTGTATCATGTTGCATTGACCGTCTGCTTTAAATGTTTCTGCTTCATATTCTGACTTTGGCATGTCTTCATGTGTACGGCCAAAAACCACCACCACCCATCACCCAACACGAATATGTAAGTGTTAAACTGAACAATGACACTTAAGTGGAGAGATGCCACATTTAAGCTTGACATGGGCTTGTTTGGACAGCTGGCAGCCAGTCCCTCAGAGCTTTAAAATGTCATTTTATCATAACTAACATGTTCCTTAGAAAGTTCGGATGAACATAAATGCCACTTATGATAAAAAA